GCCGCCATGTCATGAAGGCGCTGTGTTTCGTTGTGAAAGCGAAACTACTTTGTTTGGCCTTCCAAAAGAGGACTATATCGCTTCGTCATGCCTGGAGCTGATCCGTGCTGGTCGCTGAGGAAATACTTAAACTTCGAGCTGTCGATCGCCGGATCGGCTTTCACCGTGGATGAAGCGGAGTCCAGCCCGGGGTGTCACATGTGGTTGCCGCAGGCATCACAATATGGTAAGGGACAAAACATTTCTGTCACACGCTTGAGGAATTCAGCCAATCACAACGCACTGGATAGCTGGCCAATCACAGCACACCTCGCTTTTTAGACCGATGAGCTTTGTAAAAATCGACTCGTTTCAGAAAGGCGGGGCATAGAGGAGAAACAATAATGTACAGTATGTGGAATATAATGTGTTTTTTTAACCTTAAACCGCATAAACACATTTCATTACACCAAATACACAAAATACTGTTCTTTTTAGCAGCATCATATCATATGACCCCTTTAAAAGAATACATGTTAACACGGCTTGCCATAGACGGAGAAGTGGGTGGGCGCGAGCGCGTAGAGCGTGCACGCGCCAAGCCAGTGCGTACATGTGTCGCAGATTTTAAAACTCAGAAAGAGCTGGAGTAGCGGCAGACCTGAGGGTGCACCAAGAGTACCGGAGGGTTTAAACACTCCAAGAGTAAAAAAGAAAACACTCCAAGAGTGTGCGCAGAATAGTTAAGTGATATTTCATCACCTGAAGAGAAATAACGGGAGAGATTAGAAACTCTGTTTGCTGCACTGGATGCTCTCATGAACATGGAGCTGTCATCAATAGGAGAGCAAGTGTTTGCTGTGGAGTCAATCACGAAGAAGAGGATAAGAAAGGTAAGGACGTTGCTGGTGCATATAAAAATGCACTTTGGTCATGTAAAGCAATGTATTCTGCACGCACTGTTTACTTTGTTTTGAAGAGATTAATACCACCAAAGTCCGCACAGTTTTCTTCTGTTGCCAGTTCAGGAATCACTCATGAGTGAATAATACCTAAGCTTGCGTAACATCTCTGAACTTTTTCGTTGCATGACTTTTCGTGTGCAAAACACTGCGGAAACTTGCATGTTATTCTCTAAAGTTAGTGAATATTCGCAAGGCTCGCGCTTGAATCGCGAGCGCTATAGATGGAGGGGGCGTGTGAGAACAGCGCGCGTGTCAGCATCAACGCCATAGATGCGCGTTGCGCTCGGAAAATCACCGCGTTTAGCGGCTACGCAGTTCATTTGTACGCGCGCGGGCCAAGGATGATGCGTGAAACATCCGCGCAGTTGTCAAAAATAATCGGACCAGTTTAGACCAACGGCAGAATAAACAAGATTAAAGATGTTTAAATAGCGATAAATAAAATAGGTCATGTTTATTAATAGAGCACGCACGAAGTAGCTGATCTCACTGGTAGGTGTTCATTTATTTATTATTGTGTGTGTGGTATACAGATGTTGTAATATACAGTAATAGCAAGTGATGTGATGACTAACGCTGCATGTGCACGCGGGCTTCGTTTCGTACGCTCCAGCGTGAGGGGAGGAAAGACCTTCGCAGCTTCAGGTTGCACAAAATGAGTTGTTTACGCGTTTCCGTGGCCCCACCTACTTCCATCCCATGAATGTTCTTGAAACTCGCTGTTTTTGTTTTTTTTAAATGGAACTCACGTGCTCGCCCCTCTATGACATCACGCACCGTAACATTCTCGAGCGCAGCGCCGTTCTCATCCTGCATAATCTTTCAAGTCAAAATACTACTGCGTGTTGACATCTTAAAGAGACAGGCATGCTTTTTTCAAAATCTGGGGTATGTTTGTGTCATGGATTGGTTGAAAACAGAATGGTGAAGTATATCCCCCCTCAACTTTAAACGTGAAAGTGACTTCTTTTATTTCTTTCTCATTTTCAGGGAAATGTGGAATATCTGCTAAAGTGGCAAGGGTGGGCGCCTAAGTAAGTTCTCATATAAGATTGGAAAAACATACAGTCATTTTATTAAAGACAAAATACAACCTACAACTAGAACACAATATGTGGGTGAATCCCACAAAAACGTGTCAAGGTCACATTTCACCAGCCCCAATAAAGATTGCGTAAAACATGAGGAAAAATAGATATTGGATCAAAACACAGCATCATATTATTCCTTTCTCGTCACCACAAGAGACGACAATGTTATGCTCCGTTAAAATAATAATGAATACATTGGAGAAAAAAAAACTTTTTTGCAGTTTATTGGTTTTCAAACAAAAAGTAGCCCTGATATTTGAAAATCATGAGATGAAAATGACTGTACATTGTAAAGTTGAATTTTGTGCAAACAACATATGCGCTTGAAACTCTTTTAGCCATGTGTTACTCCAATGATCTGTTTGGGACTGTCTCTGTGACTGTCAGGTACAGCACTTGGGAACCAGAGGACAATATACTGGACCCTCGTCTTGTCCTCGCCTATGAAGAAAAGTAAGTCGCACTCTGATGAGGAGATGAATATGCTGGAGGCAACGGGATGTTCTTTCCTTTCCATCTCCCAAATCCTTTGCAAATCTCTCTCTTTCTAACAGAGAGGAGAAGGACAGAGCTCTGGCTTATAAGAGGAAGGGCTTGAGACCTCGTCGAGTTATTCTGCGGGTATGAGCTATCTCTTTACTATTTTGATGTCCAGTGGCAGTTCTTATGTAATTCTGATGTGGTTTTTTTTCCTGTAATGCGCAAACTCTGTGTTATTTTCCCTAAAACAATATTTGAAGCCGCATCCAACTGTTGTGTCCTTTCTATGCAGCTTCTGTAACAACAAGTAGGCCTACCAAAGGTTTTATATCGATTCATATATCATATATCCAACCATCTGATACACATAATAAAAGTGATCTGATGTACTAAAGTGCCCCAGGATCTGAACTTAGATTCATTGTCCAAATTTGGCATAGCATTCACATGGGACTGTACTTGACTTTTTCTTTCGGACATGGTTCAAAACAGTTCTCTGTAAGTGCACCAAAGGAGTCATCTAGATTGCAAGATAATGTATCGCAGCAGTTGTAAAGACAATTCAGTATTTCAGAAAGAACATTCTAGCCTAACCAGTATATGCAACATCTGATAAACACTGCATAATCTCAACTTTCTAACAGAGCATCTACCCAATGGACCTACGAAGTAAACACAAGGTTCCAGATAAACCTACCCCAAGAATCCGCCTGTCACTCACCCGCTCCATGGGGACGGAAATAGACCAGAATGGGCGGCGCTACCGTCCCATAGAGAAATACAAGAACAGGCATTGCAGGTCCAAGCTCATGAATGACATCAAACCATCCCAGTATTCACTTCCTGCAAAAGACTCAGAGAAAGAGTGGGATGAAGACGATGAAGATGAGCAGGAGAACAAAGTGAAGAAGATGAGGGAAAACGAAGAAAAAACAACAGAAGTGCACCAGGACATTCCAAGTAGTAGGTGTTGTGTGGCATCAATACAATAACTTGATAAGATACTCTGCAATGAACATATTCAGCCTGATTTTTCAGAATGGCCCTCATGACCCCTGAATAATTCAGGGTCACGAGGGCCATTCTGAAAAATCTTGCCAGATATTTCTGAATCACAGTGACAACTGGCTAACATGTGTTTAATGTGATTGAGAAATACTCCACTGTCAAAATTCACCCAAAAATGACAATGTAGTATGTCGTTCAAAACCTGTAAGATACTCTGTCCTCTGCAAAACACAAAAACTTTTTCTTACAATGAAAGTGAATGACCATTAAACGTAAAACCTGGACCATAACGTACCATAAAAGCAGTCCATATGACATTTGCCAGAAATTTCTACTCTTCTGAAGCCATTTCACCTTTAGTGTGAGGAACGACTCATTTAAATAGTCAAAAATGTATGTAACCCTCCGTCATTTCACTAGAATCTCATTCATTTAAATTTAAACTTGCCATTTTAAGACATTTAGTTGTGTCAAGTTTGATGACAGTAACTTTGAACATTGGTTCTTACGTCTTGTGTTCAATCATCATTGATGTAAAACCAAACGTGAGATTTTCAGAGCTGTGTTTCCCAAAATCATAACCATAAGTAGATTGTAGAGACCACTGGTGCCAGTGCAGGACTCTATAGACTCCCACTGGTTGCTCTGGTGCGACTAACTTTCTCAGTTTTATTTAATTATTATTATTATTTTTATTTGATTTTTTTGCTACAACATGGCTTTAATCAATGCATGCTGATGAATAGTTTTTTTCTTTTATCATAGTTTATAGTTATATGGTAACAAAAGTGTTTAACATTCAACCCGACGAACTAGCTTATATAACGTTTATTAACAAAAACGAATAAGACGAGGCATGGCATACATCAATCATGCTGTATTATATATTGACTTATAAATTACAGAACGTTTAGCAAACGCTAAGGAATCAAATAAATAAATATAAAAAAATGTAATGGTGTAATGTGAGGTAAACAGCAAAGACAACAGGCTTTTCAAAATGAAAATAAAAATAAAACGTAACTGGCTGTCGGTGACGGTGCTTGCATGTTTTTGCGATCACATCAAATTTCAACTCGCACATTCTCAAACAATTGTCGCATATGTGACCATTTTGGTCGCAGTCTAGAGCCCTGCAGTGGTTTATACGATCTACTTGGGCTTACAATGCATTTGGGAAATGTAGCCCAGGTCAGTTTGTTCCTCATTTTATAAAATACATTTCACGAAGTAGTCCATACGACTCTTGCACTTCCAATTCTTTTAAAGTTATATATTAGGAACAAAGTGATATTTATATTGTTATTTGACAAAAGTCCCTTTTGCTTCCTTTCTGCCGTAGCTTTCGAATCTCTTTCGTAATCGAGTACATTCAAACTTGCAGTTAAAGATGCGTCACGACAGGTTTAGTGTCATTGACACCAAAACTTCTATGACATATCTTGAAGCAGAGAAGGTCATGTGTGTCTGGAATGACTTTAAGGTCACTAAATAACTCCGTTTTAGTTCAACAGTTCCCTTTAAAGTTCATTATGAGTTTCTGTCTTTTTCTGTCAGGTCAAGAGACAACGGAGGGGTACAGCTCTTCGGCAGAAGATGAAGCTGTAATCACCATCAAGGAAACTGAGAACTGCTCTTCCATTTATGACCATGCTGAGAAGCCAAGCGAGGATACAAGTCAAGTTTTAGGAGCAACAGAAAACAGTACAATCACTAACACACAAGAGAACGAGCCAGTCACAAACACTACAGGGGGTGAGGACTCCGTACGGGTATCACATGACACAACAAACACTGACCAATCACTACACGGCACCGAGTCAGGAGCCAAGCAAGTTGTGTTTGACCAAGTACAGAACAGACCTTCGGTTATCGAGGTACATTCGAGCACTAAACATAGACAGGAAGAGGTAAGCGAAAGTGGTGAGGTAGACCATTCAGAGGCCAAAGAAAAGGAAGGAATGGATGCTGAAATTACAGCAGAACGCACATTACTACAGGTCCCAATTGACCAATCAGAGACTCCCTCCACCACCACAGTGCATCCTGGGAAAGTCACTGTGATTCAGGTGACGATAAATTCCTTGACCGTCACCTTCAAAGAGGCCATGAGTGCAGAAGGCTTTTTTAGTGGCGATGGGCTTGAGGTGTAAGTTGACAAAGGAACCCAAGAGCATACAATAGATTCATGTACATTTAGTCAAGACCAAGTGAATAATAGTTTGCAGTAGTGAAGCAGATATTGTCTATAAACAAGGTAAAGACAACATACAATAGATTCATGTACATTTAGTCAAGACCAAGTGAATAATACAGTTTGCAGTAGTGAAGCAGATATTGTCTATAAACAAGGTAAAGACATCAACAAGGCATTTGTTTTCTTAAGTTTATCCTTGTGTCATTGTGGTAAAATAACCTTTGAAGGAAGACATTTCTGATTATACTCAGTGATGCTGTATGCGAAGACTTTTAAGCATGTAAAGCGAATCTTTGTATCTGTACCACTACTTTTCCATCAGCAGCAGTCATTGACATAACAATGAGAAGAAACTGTTTTTTTAGTTCCGACTTGAAGACTAAACTACTGTTACATCACCTCTTTTGTCCTGTAAACAACCATGTGGGAAAAGGAAAGGCCACCTGGCTTTGTTTCCATATCTGCACCTGAGCTGTCTTCACTATGTTTGGAGGCCTTTGTGCATTTTTAAAGAGACAGTATTGGTTTACTTCACAACTGCTACAGTGGATGCTTTCGTAGGGGTAGATCCTGTTCATCTGAACACATGTGCTTTAGGTGTGCTTTTAGCATGGCAGAAATCAAAGTCGAGCCTAAATTACATGTTTTGGTCGTGGTGATAGTTGAACATGGCTTGTCAGTTCGGTTGTTGCTCTCACGTGACAACTACACTTTTTTTTGTGCTTGTATTTACAGCAAATAAATGGGAAAATAAAGTTGTGGGTGATTTGAATTCATTTTGGAGTAATACCTTTTTGTGTGTAAGCCAATTTGTGCCTCAGAGTAAAATATGTAGTGAAATATAGTGATTTGCAATTGTAACTTAATACCCTGCAATTGCGACTATAGGTTCCAATTGCAAGACGGCTACATTGAAATAATTATAGTGAGTTACATTTACAACTATGAGATATTAAATCTATTCACAAGAAAGTTGCAATTGAGAGTTATGAAGTTGCAATTACAAGAAATAGTCACAATTCTGAGACATTTAGCTGCTTTTTGTTCCTTTTTTTACTGAGGCAGATTCCTTAAAATGTATTTAATGAAGTCTTCCAGAAAGCAGTGTAATAAATAATCCTTATTACACACTCTGGAATACTCAGTTAAACAGCCAAAGTGCTGTCGGCCAGTCATTGTCACAAAATAAACCCAGGAGGAAAATCTGAAGTTGATATTCTCTAGTCAATCGGACCAGGTTAAATGTTCTAAACTACTAGTCAAAAATTATGAAGCATAATAAGCCGACAGTAATAAGTCATATTTGCTGACCCTAATGCTGATTCTTAAATACCACACCTTCACCAGGCAATCTGTACAGTTCACTTTTATCACCTCTAGGATAATTTGCAGGAGCAACAGGTTCTTCAGCATCGGTCTGAACATCAACTGGCAATGACAGCTGGCTGATGAGTCAACTATGACCAGCCTAACAGCCCTTAACACATTTAACCAAACAAACCCAAATCCAAGAGCACTGCCGTTCATCCAAACAGAGATATAAAAGATTAAAGCAGAAAGGCAAATGGTTAAAAAAAATACAAATGATCCTCAAAAATAAATGACCAATAAATTAAATTTGTTATCTTCATTTTATTAAAAAAAAAAAAAAAAAGTCCACTGCAGTAGCGGCCGCTGTTGCATTTGCTGCTGCTTTTGGAGCTGAGACATTTGAGTCTGCATGTTAACACCCTGTCCAAGGTGCATGCGAGGCTGGGGCACCCCAGTATTGACACTCACTGGCTGGCTTCCCATTGGTCCTGGCCCACCCTGTGGTACAGCGGGGCCACCTTTATACTTGTGAACCCGCTGCTTAATAAATGCTGCCATTAGTTGTGGGTTAGACCGAAGAATGTTGAGGACTTGCTGCTGCTGTAGAGGAGAGCTTGGAGATCGCAGGGTCCGCAAAAGATCCTGCAGGGCTCCCTGAGGCAGATTGCCAGCTGCTGCCCCACTTACTACGCCACTCTGCAGACCAGCCTGCACCATACTCATCAAGGCATTTCGATTCGGCATTTGGGGTGCTTGCTGTTGTTGCATTTGTTGTGGTTGTTGTTGCTGCTGCTGCGGAGGGGGCTGCATTGCAACCATTCCCGGTTGAGCCATCATGGCAGGTCTCTGCTGTGTTGGCATACCCTGCCCTGGCCACTGTTGCTGCTGAGGCTGAAGTGGTGGGTTCATTCTCGGCTGCTGTAGATGCATTTGTGGTGGCATCTGGCCTTGAACACCTGCCTGTTGAGGCTGCTGCATGGGCCCAGCTCCCACCATCATTCCCTGAGGTCCTTGCTGCTGTTCCATCTGCACTCTGTTCGCTGATGTTTGTGCCTGCGAGGCCATTCCTGGTGGCCCTACCATGCCAATCCCAGGGTGAGCTACTCCCATCTGTCCCTGTGGCTGCTGATGGTGCTGCGGCATCATGCCAGCTTGCGCAGCCTGCCTGTGTAGCATTTGAACCTGTGCCATCTTTCGCTGTGCATCAGCCACTTGCTGGATCTTCATGGCTATCTCCACAGCTGCAGGCGGAGGACCTGAAGATTGCTGTTGCTGGGGCATAGGTGCTGTGCCTGGGTTGTTAGGGAGTTGCGGAGGAGTTGCAGGACCAAGGCTTGGCTTACCCTGCGACTGTGGATTTGGGGAGGGACCTGTGGAATGGGGACCATACTGATTGTGTGGATGCGGGAGTTGTCCCACAGGTTGCTGAGGAACCATTTGTTGCTGCGGTGAGGTCATCATCCCACCTGCACCTGGCATCTGCTGAAACTGGTGGTGGACGGGATGCTGAGGAGGCTGCTGGGGAGCTCCAGCTGGGACTCCACCCACACCAGGCTGGGGCAAAGACGCAAGGTTGGGTGTCAGCTGTGTGGGTGTCTGAGGCGTTGCAGGTTGCGTACCGACTGACGTAGGTGTGCTAGGACCTGTGGCCCCATTGTTGCCGGGTGATGGAAGACCTCCAGGAGGCCCACCTCCACATGGCGGTGGCTGCCCTGCTCGCTGCATGGTGGCCATACGTCTACGCAGCATTTGCGCTTGTTGAAGCCTGTGTTGCAGCTGCTGCTGACGAAGCTTGTGCTTGATGTTGAGACAGAAGGGCACAGGACACTTGTTTTCCTGGCAGTGCTTAGCATGATAGCAACATAGTGCAATGAGTTGCTTGCAGATGGGACAGCCACCATTGGTCTTGCGTTTGCAGCCCTTGGTATGTTGCACTACTCTCTTCATCTTTTGGCAAGACGGCAAAGAGCAATTAGCATTGCGGCACTGGCACGCATGCACCAGAGACTGGATGCAGCGTTGGATGCTGAGACGACGCGAGTCACCAGGGTTCTGAGTGGAGCCTGCAGACTGGTTGTTGCTCTCGTCATCAAGACCCAGTCCAAGTTTCTCCATCTTGTGCTCATGGCCCTTAGTGTTGTAGCAAGTGATGCAAAGATCATAATCCTACAAAAGAAGAGAGAAGGGGGCGTATCAAAAGTTGCTCAGTCTTTTTATCTAAAATACATGTACCACAATACCACAATTTTTAGAAACCCTCTTCAAAGACATACAAAGTATCATATATGGCATTTCTTACCTCACAAACAGTGCAGTGGAAGCGTGTCTCAACGTGGTGCTTGCATTCATTGCACGTGTAGACAAAGCGGTCCTGGCTCTGGTTGTGCAGTTCTACTAGCATACACATGGAGCTCCATTTGGCACGCCTCAGCGAGCTGAATTCAAGGTGCTTGTCTCGTGCAAGCGTTAGGAAAGCATCTCGTCCGTCCATCAGATCGCAGGCCATCAGGGGGTCAGGGTCCAAAATGGGTGGAAGGGAATTGGCAGAAGGGCCAGCGATGAGACGGATAACAAAGAAAACCTTGAAATTAAGCAGTGTGTTGACATTTGTGAGTTCAGTCCAAACGTGTAAATGACAAATGGTTCAAATGTTTTTGGGAGCTACATACCTCTTTGTGTTTCTCCATTGAAGCATAGAGTTTCTGGGATAGATCATTGGAGACATTTGGCATGCCCGGTTTCTTTTTATTGGCTCGGCTCAAGCTGCTCTTGTTCTTGCTAGTCTTCTTGCTGTTCTTTTTTTTGGCATTCTTGCTGTCACCACTGGTAGCCTAGACAGTCAAAAAAACAATCTTAAGCATGAAGTTATAATAATTATGTTTTAAGAATACATATTAAAGCAGCTGCACTAGAATTAATTTTACCATCAAGTCAAAAACAAGAAAGGACAGTAGCCGTCTAAAAACCCAGCTACTGATGTGTTCGGTTTCTCTTGAAGTACTTTTTAAAGTTACCTAGTTTATTGATGGTAGAAATATTATGCACAGCAAATGTTTTCCTTTGGCACTTGAGTATGATTTCACCCAGTACAAAATGGTTACAAATCTGAGTCAATCACTCACGTCAATGCTTTCACTAGAGGTGTTGTTTTCCTCTCGCTTCCGTTCTTCCTCCTCCTGTTCCAGCTCTTTAATGCTCTCTTCCAACACATTAGGCCAAAAATCACCCTCAAAATATGGGAGCTCCTTCGCACTGGTCAGACGATCCTCTGTTGCCTGCTTAAAAATGTCCTGGGCAAGGAGAAACATGCAATAGTTAGTGAAGGACTTCAAATAGATGGCACATTGCCGTCAACAACGAGCCAAACAAGGGAAAAGACTATCTTGCAGTATGCTGACTCAAGTCTAAACTTTTATTATTGTCAGCCAGAAGTACAGCTGTAGCAGTACCTTGTAGTCGTGCACAATTCTTTCAGCTACTGCTTTGTCAAGCATCTTCTTGTACCATTCTTGTAAGCGTTTAGGTTTGGGAATCTTCTGATCCGATGGGTGGCAGTGGAAGATATAGTCGTCACCTTCGCTCGGTGGACAAGCCCAGATGTGGCCAATGACAAACCCCATTTTTTTAACATACTCCAAGTATCCAATTAGGATCTCATGATAGACTCCAGTTCTCAGGTGACGGGGTTGGAAAAAGTGCACACTGTCAAGGTAGGAGATGTACACACGTCTGC